GAGAGAGAGAGAGAGAGAGAGAGAGAGAGAGAGAGGAGAGGACTGTGTGGCAGAATGTACTAACCAACAGTCCATAGAAAAGTGGCAATCAAACTCTGCTTGCTGTTGCCATAGGTGTCAGCAGCCAGTACTGCTAACTCCTGCCGTAACCGTCCTGTGTTGCTGAGGCCAGTTAGTGTCAGTCTATCCCCTTGTATTGGTGTAAATGGTCCTCCATTCAGTGAGTACGAAAACGAACAGCCTTCACCTTCACGGAAGTCCTCTATGGTAAAACTGGTCACAGTGGGATCCACTTCGACATTTCCCGCAAGGTCCACTGCTCGAACAAACAATGTATGGGACCCGATCAGAAGGTTGCTTCTGTTGACCTGAGGTCCACATACAGTCCATGTGCCCAGGTCAACTTTGCAGAGCCATGTCACAGTTGCAGCTTCCTCGGGGCGGATTAACACCGGCCCAATCAGGTATGGTCTAGTGTACTGGGAATTCTGGATAGCAGTGAGCCCATGGGTGTCTACTGCCTGTAGGTTGAATGGCCCTACCGTCATCGTGTCTGACTTGAAAGTTGGATCTGTGACAAGCGTTGACAGCCTGGAAACAGGAGCTGAAGTATCTGCAATGTTCAATACAAACATTACAATCGTTTTGTGAGCAAGCATGATTGAGAAATACAGAGGCGCATTGACACAGGGACGTAGCCGTAGACTAGAGACAAACAAAGACACGGACAGAGACCACAGGCAGAGACAGACAGAGAGGCAGAGCGAGGCAGGCAAAGTGGTACCTCTACCTTGCACACAACCACTGACACACATGCAGGCACACAGACAAGCACACACACAAGCATACTAGTTATCTGTTCAGTGTTTGCCAGATATACTCCTTATACATACTCAAGTCTCTGCTGTGCTTTCTTCTCTTTTCCCCTCCCTGTTCAATATGTCCAGTGGTCCAGGTATGCAAATGATTTGGCAGCACTGAATGGAAGTGCCTTCTACACTACTTGCGGCTGGTGTGTTCGTCATGCCTGTGTTGCATGGTGGCAATATACCCTCATCTTGTGGCTCCTGGCTCTTGAGGGTGGTATGAACCTGTGAGTGGGTGATAGTCTGCTCTGGTCCTTGCTGTGTACGTGTGTCCTGTAATTGTCTTGTCATGTGCCATCGTCGCGTGGGCTGCTTCCAGCCTTATTGCCTTGTTGCTCACTTTGCTGCTTGCCCTCCTGTCCATCTGCCTCACTGCTGCCTGCTTTTTTTCCCTTGCTGCTTCCCTAGATGCTTCATTTCGTGCTGCGGTGTACTAGTTGCTTCATATGCCTGCCTAACTGGGTCTTAAGACATTATCACTTCAAGGGAGTCCAAACAACATTAGGGGATTCTGCAGATTCTCCAGTGTCCAGCCTCCTGATGAGTGGTGAGAGTCCAATGAAAGAGTCTGTCACTTCCTGCTGCGGTGTAGCTTAGTGGCTTCATAAGCCTGCCTGTCCATTGCAAGTGGGTTCAAAGCATTGTCCATGCTACCTTCATGACAACTTAAGGCTCCTATTTCCTCGGTGAGTCAGAAAGATAGTATAGATAGTATACACAGTCTGACAGCATTCCCCGCGTTACTGTGTCCCATTTCCAGACCATAGGGCCGCACATAGAACTTTCTGGTAGGTATCATATAGGCCAAAATAGAAATCAGGTAAGGTAAGGCCTAGGAACAGTAGAAGTCCCTCGCAGTCAGTGCCAAGGGGAGTTGCCATGTGTCAAGTCCCGGTCAAGTAGCAGCTCCATCCCAGGGATGGCCTAGGGGCAGTCCAAATCTCTATCGGCCGCTGCAAGGCCAGACAGGACTGTCAGCCTGGCCAGTGGAGGTCCCTGGATTCCCAAAGGGAGGCTGCAGCCAGGAACCACTTCTGCGATCCTCTCTCTTGCAGAAGCACTACTGCGTGATTCTCTGCCAAGATCTTGGATGTGTGACCAGTTCCTGGTGAGGAAGTGGTCAACAGTGCTGGGCGTCGAAGTGTTAGGATAGCGCAGAAGGAGAGGAACAGCGAGTGCAGACATTCAGAGTGATAGCGCAGAAGGAGAGGAACAGCGAGTGCAGACATTCAGAGTGATCCCTGATGATCTCTCTCTCGAGACCTGTGTGCAGTAGTATAGAATATTTATATTGTATAGAATATATACAATAGAGAGAGAGAGAGAGAGAGAGAGAGAGAGAGAGAGAGAGAGAGAGAGAGAGAGAGAGAGAGAGAGTGAGAGAGTTACCTGCTTGATGTTCTTGGTGGTGACCAGAGCTTGAGAATGCAGTGTACATCATTTGAAGTTGTAAATCAGTTCATGCGAATCTTGGTGGTTTGGTGTAGATCTTGAATGCGATGCATTCATGAAGTTTGAGTCAATAAAGACGAGAAAATAAGATCTTTTAGCACAAAGCATACCATCTAAGTGGTATCCGAGGGAACTCTCCTTGTCTTCAGCAGATCATGAGGCACACACAAGAAAGCAGACATGTCCAAGAGAGAAGGAAGGTGTGCAAAGAAAGAGAAAAACATGTGCGTGTAAAAGAAAGGCAAGCATGTGGAGAAGTCGAGTGTGTGCAAGTCAGAGAGAGAACCAGCGAAGATAAGAAGGTGTGCGTGCAGGCAGAAAGGAGAGCAAGGCAGAAGGATGAGCACGTGCAGGACTGGCACAGTGTAGGAGAGAAGGTGCCCACGGGGAAGTGAGGGTTCATAGGAGGAGAGCCGGCATGAGCAGCAGGTCTTTAAAAAAAAAAAAAAAACGTGATTTAAAAAACAAGGTGCAGCATTCGTGGGCGAAAACTTGAAGGTGCAGCATGAAAGAAGAAGAAGTGGCAGCATGGCAGTGGATTTAAAAAAAAAAAAAAGGAAAAAGGGATTGGCCGGGGATGGACTCATGCTTGCCGGTGATAAGCACCGGGCTGATCCCCGGCTGAAGAGAAGGGGCTGGTGTTGTTTTTTTTTTGAAAAAAGGAAAAGGTGCAAGGGGGATAGAAAGCACGTACCTGCTTGATCCGGTGAATTAATGAGGTCAGTGAGCATGGAGGAATTGTCAGCGAGCTGGAAGTACCTCAACACCCTAAGCCTTGTGTGACGCAACGATGAGTACATGAGTTTGACTCCTGTTTGTTGGTCTTTCTTAAATTGATCTGCAATCGTCATCATTTTTGCTGATGGAAAGTAGGTCATAGGTTGATAGGTGTCTGCATTAGTAGATAGGTAGGATCAGCCTGGCAATGGCAATACCACATAAAGTAGTGGCACCGGCATGAGCGGCAGGCCCTCATACAACAACTTGTCTAGCCTATTGACCGGTACTGACCGGCGTGCAAGTGAACCGTGTGTGCACGAACATTGACCAGTCTTCATTTGTCGAGGGGTTAGTCTGACAATGGCGCCGACAGCAACATCGCGTAAAGTAGTTTCATAGGCATGAGCAACGGGCGCTCATTAATTAAACTGACTAGTCCACAGACCAGTACTGACCGGCGTGCAAGCGAACCACATGCAGATGGGTGTTGACTTGTTAGGAAGTGGAGATGCCACCTAACTGCCATTTCATCAAAATGGACATTGTTTATTTTTGAACAAATTGAAACCAAGTTTATTGTCTGAAAACTCGTCCAAATTTGCTGCTCCTGAGGGTCCGGTTCGGCCAAAAAACTCGGTTGGAATTTCGTTAAAAAAATAAAAAATGTCCATTTTGACGAAATGGCAGTTACCTAGCCTCATTATCCTGTATGTGACGTAAATAATTCTTGAGGACCTCCGGGTTATCCTTAAACTACCTCCGACTCTCTGGCCAGTCTACGGTAATCTTCCACCTCCCAGCAGTTGAGTCAATCTGGGCTAGGTCAGCAAAGATTAACTTAGTGCCAAGTGGGTGAGAGTTAGCAGTAGTAAAAGTCCTTTTTCTTTCTTGTTTTCCTTTTTGTTGGAAGCCAGCCGCGGGTTACTCGTGGGGGGTGATATGAGCAGCCTCCCCTAGTAGGCCCAGTGCTGGCTGCCCCAATCTATTGGTGGGGGGGCGCACCTGCTGGGAATTGGGCCCGGCATCCCAGATACAATTTACGGGGGCCATTACCCAGCTTCGGCTATGTGTGAGGCTGTGAAGACAGGTACTTGAGAAAGCAACAGAGACCTCTTCGCCCGTCTCCTGGGTGCCTGATCAAGTCCCTCCGAGCCTGTGCTGTTACCTGCTAGTCTCCTGCTTTGTGTGTGACTGTGTCTGCTTGTATGACTCAGACTCTTCCTTAACCCACCATTCCATGCCATACCATGTCAGATCTACCAAACACCGGGAAGATGGCGGAAACAAACCAGGGCCTGGGGGAAGGTCAGCGCCAATGCCACCCCGGCCTGATGAACCACCTTCCACCGCCTGAAGAGCAGCACACAGTGACGGCACAACAATTGCAGGGACTGCATCAGACCGGACCCCACCTTGCCCTGCAAAACAGCCAACCCCCTCGGAGGGAGGACCATCCACAGGATGGACTGAAACACGCGATAATCCCTTTGCTCACCCGGCAGGTCACTGTGGTGGAAATCATCCATGACGATGAGGACAGCTCACTGCTGGTATCGGACGATGAACAGACTGACGCATCTCCCCCAAAAAAACTGAGAGAACTGGTGAGACTGGAGGAAGACGACAGCGCCCCGGTAGTTATGCCACCGGGAGTGGCGATCTTCCAGCTCACCAGGGTGAAGGAAGCAGGACAGTGGGTGCTGGGCCTCAGACCCCCACAGCAGGACACCCACCATCACCAGAACGTGGGGCCCAACGGCCTCACAGTTGATGGCTGGAGGGGCAACCCCTCCACAGCGGTCATCCTAAAGAGGTTAAAGTACTGGTTAAGTGAGACAGCCACTGTAGGGGTGTTGGGGGCGGTGCTCCCCAAATCGCTCACATTTCCTAAGGGTATCACCCCGGCTATCCTACTGGTTGACCCCAAGGTAAGTCTGCAGAAAACGGCCAATGGCATCACATGGTTTAACCAGAAACAGCTGATGGACCTGACTACCTCTCGTTTCAGAACTAACTTCAGGTGGACGTTGAGTCGGGTCCTGGTGTTTATGCAAATCTTCATTGAGGACAGTGTGCTGGAGGAGCACAACCGATGGGATGACCCCCACTGCATCCGCCCCATCAAGGCCGCGGACTGAGTATCAACGGCAGCTGAGAGACACAGTCTGACCCCAACAATGGATGATCCTGCCACACAACGACAGGCCAATGACCAACAACAGTCCACTGACCCCCCACTGTGCCAGCCTCCTGCCACGTGAGCACCGGAACCGCCATGCCCGATCGCTCTCCCCCAGCCCCTCCGCCATCACCACCAGCCAGGTACCCTTCGATGGGTCCAACGCAACCCGTCCGCCCCCCTCAACCTCCCCCCCCCCCCCCCCCCCCCCTGGTGTTTCCCAAAACCAGGAGCCCGCCACAATGGGCAACCAAACTGGGCCATCCAGACAGAGATATATGGTCACTTAAACCACCAGTACTTGGGGCCGGCCTTAGCGTTAACGCTACGAAAATTTTGCGGCCGGCGGGCCGTGGATAAATCGAATCCACAGCCCGTGTCGCTTCGACCTCCGGG